AAGCATTTGCTCTGGTGCACTGGACCACAAACCCCTCTTCTTGGAAGTCTGAGAACTCACAGTGGGCAGGACACTCTAGGGGTCAGCATTTCAACCAATGTCTTCCTAGGTAGGGCTAGGAAGATTGTTACAATAGGGAGAAGAGGACCCCACCATGTGAAAGTCCTTTGAATTTCCTCTTTTTCTGCCCTACCTTTGGCATTCCTCAAGAGCCTCATTCATTGTTTAAGGCCAAAGTTGTCTCCATGGTGAAAGGTCATCCCTTTTTCTCTGCTAATCCTGGAGATCAGATCTTATTCACTTTACAGAGATGAACCTGTGACTCAGGATAGGGTGAGACAAAATGAATCTCGTAAAAGGGCCTGTTTTCAGGAACAAAGGGAAGGACGGTGATCCTTGACTGTTGCTGCTCTGTACAAAGAATCTGTTTTTGTGTCTATTTGTATTGTTATTAAATTTGTATGGTTAATCTCTCCCCCCCCCCCCCCCACACACACACAGTGAGATCTGTCAGTCTGTTCCATGCATCCATGCCTCTGGACCTATTTTGTTTATCAGCTTATTTTGTTCACTAGATTGCACATATAAGTGAACCATGTGATATTCATCTTTCTCTCATTAACTTCTTTCACTTAGCATAGTAATCTCCAGGTCCATCCATACTGTTGCTAAGGGTAAGAGTTCCTTCTTTTTTAAAGATGCATAGTATTCCATTGTGTAAATGTACCACAGCTTTTTTATCCACTCATCTACTGATGGGCACTTGGGCTGTTTCTAGATCTTAGCTATTATAAGTGGTACTGCTATGAACACAGGGGTGCACATGTTCTTTCTAATTGGTGTTTTAGGATTCTTAGGATATATTCCCAGAAGTGGGATCATTGGGTCAAATGGCAGTTACAATTTTAAGTTTTTGAGGAAACTCCATACTGTTTTCCAAAGTGGCTGCACCAGTTGTCATTCCCACCAGCAGTGAACGAGGGGTCCCTTTTCTCCATATCCTTGCCAGGACTTGTAAGTTGTTGGTTTATTGATGGTAGCCATTCTGGCAGGTGTAAGGTGATACTTCATTGTAGTTTTAAATTGCATTTCTCTGATGATTAGTAACTTTGAGCATTTTTTCATATTTCTATTGGCCATCTCTATGTCCTCTTTGGATAAGCATCTATTCAGGTACTTTGCCCATTTTTTAATTGGATTGTTTTACTAGTGTTGAGTTGTATGAGTTCTTTATATAGTTTGGAAATTAATTCCTTATCAGATGTATTTATTGGCAAATATGTTCTCCCATACAGTGGGATTCCTTTTCATTTTGTTGATGATTTCTTTAGCTGTGCAGAAGCTTTTTAGTTTGATATAGTACCATTTGATTATATTTTCTTTTGTTTCTCCTGCCCTAGATTTGTCAGCAAAAATTTTGCTATGTGAGATGTTAGATTTTGCTGTTTTCGTCTAGGATTTTTATGTTTTCACAACTTACATTTTTAAGTCTTTTATTCATTTTGAGTTTATTCTTGTGTATGTTCTAAGTTGGTGGTCTAGTTTCATTTTTTTTTGCATGTACCTGTAAAATTTTCCCAACACCATTTATTAAAGAGACCATCTTGACTCCATTGTATGCTCTTGCCTCCTTTGTCAAATATTAATTGACCAAATTAGCCTAGGTTAATTTCTGGAGTGTGTATTTTGTTCCATTGGTCTATATGCCTGTTCGTGTGCCAGTATCAGGTTGTTTTGCTTACAATAATTACCATGTGTTTGTAGTATAGTTTGATATTCAGTATTATGATCCCTCCAACATTATTCTTTTTTCTCAAGATTGCTGTGGCTATTCAGGGTCTTTTATGGTTTCACATAAATTTTTGGCAAGTTTGTTCTAGATCTGTGAAATATGCCATTGTTATTTTGATAGGGATTGCACTGAATTTGTAGATTGCTTTGGGTAATATGGACATTTTAACAATGTTAATTCTTCCAATCCCTGAACACTGTATATTTTTCCACTTGTTTACATCTTCCTCTATCTCTTTTTGCCTGTACTTTTCTGAGTATAGGTCTTTTACCTCTTTGGTTAAGTTTATTCCTAGATACCTTATTTTTTTGTTGCAATTGTAAATGGTTTTTTTTTTTTTTTTTAGTTTCTCTTTCTGAGAGTTCATTATTGATGTATAAAATGCCATCAATATGTGGATGTTAATTTTGTATAGTGCAACTTTGATGAATTCATTTATTAAATCTAGTAGTTTTTGGTGGAGTTTTTAGGGTTTCTATGTGTAATATCATGTTATCTGAGAATAATGAGTTTTACTTTCCAATTTGTTTTTATCTTCTTATCAATTGCTGTGGCTAGACTTCTAGTACAATGTTGAATAAGAGTGGTGAATGCACCTTATCATATTTGGCTCAGTGAATAGAGCATCAGCCCTCAGACTGAAGTGTCCTGGGTTTGATTCCAGTCAAGGGCATATACCTCAATTGCAGGCTTGAGCCCCAGTCCTGGTTGGGTGCGTGTATGGGAGGCAACCAATCGATGTGTCTCTGTCACACAGATGTTTCTCTTTTTGTTTTTTACCTTTCCTTCTATGCTCTACAAATCAATGGAAAAATATCCTCAGTGGAGGGTTAACTAAAAAACAAAACAAAACAAAACAAACAAACAAACAGTGGTGAAAGCAGACATCTCTGTCTAGTTCCTGTTCTGAAGAAAAATGCTTTTAGTTTTTGCCAATTGAGTATGATATTAGCTGTAGGTTTGTTATATATGGCCTTTAATATTGTGAAGTATGATCCATCTATTTCCACTTTGCTGAGAGTTTTTAATTATAAATAGGTGTTGGATTTTGTCAAATGCTTTTTCTTTGTCTATTGATATGATCATCTGATTTTTATCCTTCATTTTGTTTATGTGATGTATCACACTTATTGATTTGTGAATATTGTACCAACCATGTGTCCCAGGAATAAATCCCTCTTGGTCATGGTCTTTGATCTCTTTAATACAGGGGTGAGGAATGTCTGGCCTGCAGGCTGTATGAAGAGTGCACAATCATTTTTTCTGGCCATGCCAAGGCTTTAAGGGTGAGTTAATTAAATGTTTGACCAAATATAGCAGGCTAATTTTTAAGTTGATAATTTTGTATGGCCCACAAATGATGTTATAAATATCCAAATGGCCCGTGGCAAAGAAAAGGTTCCCCACCCCTGCTTTAATGTGTTGCTGGATCCAGTTTGCTAATATTTTATTGCAGATTTTAGCATCTATGTTGATCAAGGATATTGGGCTATAATTCTGTTTCTTTGTAGTGTCTTTTTATGGTTTTGGAATTAGGATAATGCTGGCCTCATAAAAAGAGCTTGGACATCTTCCTTCCTCTTGTATTTTTTTGAATAGTTTGAGAAGGATAGGTGTTAGTTCTTTGAATGTTTGGTAAAACTCTCCTGTGAAGCCATCTGGTCCAGCACTTTTGTTTGTTGGGAATTTTTATTTATTTATTTTTTACTAGTGGCCTGGTGCATGAAATTCATGTGTGTGTTGGGGCGGGGGGGTTGTCCCTCAGCCTGGCCTGCACCCTCTTGCAATTCGAGACCACTGGCTCCTAACCACTCACCTGGTTGCCTGCCTGATCACCCCAACTGCCTCCCCCCACCAGCCTGATCACCCCAAACTGCCCTTCCCTCCTGGCCTGATTGCCCCTAACTGCCTATGCCTCAGCACCGCCACCATGGCTTTGTCCAGAAGGACATCCAGAAGGTCTCCTGGTCTAATTAGCATATTACCCTTTTATTAGTATAGATTACTGCTTCAATTTAATTAGTTGTTATCAGTCTATTCAGGTTTTATGATTCTCCCTGATTATTTTGGAAGACTGGAAGTTTCTAGGAATTTGTCCAGGCTGTTCAGTTTGTTGGCATATCTATACTAATAAAAGCCTAGGTGACCATCACGCCCTCATGTCATCACAAGATGGCCGCTCCCACATTGTAACAAGATGGCTGCCCCACATTGTTACAAGATGGCCACCATAATATGGCTTCCCCCCATGTCGTCACAAGATGGCTACCCCATGTCATCACAATATGGCCACCATAAAGATGGCAGCCACAAGATGGCCTGCAGGTGAGGCCAGTTGGGGAGGACCAGGCTTGCAGGGGAGAGCAGTTAGGGGTAATCAGGCTGGCAGGGGAGGGCAGTTGGGGGTGATTAGGCTGGCAGGGGAGGGCAGTTGGGGGCGATGGGGCTGGCAGGGGAACAAGGCTCAGACCTTGTACCTGTAAAGTACAAATATTAACAGCTCACATCTGGGCACGGTTTGGGTGGGTGCCTCTGCCCCAAGGTCTCTATGAAGCAGATATATTTCAACTGAGGCTCCACTAGGGACAGATTTCCCCTCAGGTCACTCCCCTGGTTTGTGCCAGGATGCAGGTTAGACTGAGGAGAGCTCTAGCTCCTACCTGTTGGCCTGGGCACTTTCTCAGTTCTTTCCAATGTTTCTTCTACATAGAGCAGCTCAAAATATGGGCACTTGCTCTCCCATTTTCATGGATATGACAGACAGACACACAGATACACACAGTTATCTCATCCATACCTGATGAGGTCCTTAGGAAATGGTGTCTAGCTCACTCTCATTGTGTAGGTTGGGAGACTCAGGAGGCCTGAGAGGCACAAAACCTTCCCTAGGGCACAGAACTGATAAGAAAAAGGAGGTGTGAACTCAGCTTTCTCCTCCAAGCCCGAGACCTGGGACATTCCCAGGGAGTTGGGGGAGGGCTGTTTGGTATTGGTGTACAGGTATGGAGATGGCATGGGTGAGGAGGGTGAATGGTCAACAGCCAGAGGGGGCTTTGGGTGGTTCTGATTGGAGGAAGAGGCCCAGGTCACGGAACCTTGAGGGGTGACCTCACTTCCTCGGTGACAGACCGTCCAACAGAAATGAGAAACCTGGTAACCAGGGACTCACATTCTAGCTCACTCGACTGGAGACAGTCAGGAGAGTAAGATGTTTCTCTGTTGCTTCCCAACTTTCCGTGGCTCTGGGCAGAAGAAAGCCCAGAGTGAGAGATGTTTCTGTTGCTATAGACTTTGGCACAAGCGCCACCGCCGAAGCTTCTTGCCCTTTGGCAAGAGGCAGCCTCAGGTAACCAAGGGCAGCCCCCATCCAGGCCAGGCCCCAACTGGGACCCCACTTGGCCAGACCAACACACTCTTTACCTCTCATCGTGTGTGTGTGTATGTGTGTGTGTGTGTGTGTGTGTGTATGTGTGTGTATTGGGACTGATGAGGAAAAGTAGGGGATGAGGGGCATTCATCCTGGGCAGGAGCTGGTTGTTGGAAGCCTGGTGGGTCTGTCATGTTCATACCCCCAAGTCATGGCTGGTGGGATGGAAACAAGAGTTCTAGGGACCAAGCTCCTCTACACACTTGTTAACCTTGAGCCTTCAAGGTGTCATCTCGTGCCTTCCTGGCTGGAGGTTTTTGCAGATGCCCCTGTATCTGGGGAGTGGAATTTGTGGTGGGCATTCCCCAAGCTGGCAATGCCCAGGCTGGCCACTGATGCCTCCTGGCCCCGTTCTGGGCTCTGTCTTTGTAGAGCTGCAAGGAGGATGTCGTAGAGGAGCTGGATGATGGGTTTACTTACACCATCAACCGGAACAAGGGACTAGAGCACCAGACCAGGAACAGCATCCAGCACAGGTCTGAGGTGAGAGCTGTCCCACACCCATGACCTGAGATGAATGGGGTGGGACCACAACCCAGACTCAAATTTGCGGCCCACTCCCAAAGACATCACATCTGTACCTCCAATACTCCCATCCAGGTTCCTGGTAGGGTAGGAATCCAGCCTTCACATATTTGTTGGACTCGTAAAGAAAACAAAGTCTTGTTGTCTTTGCATTTGGCTAGTTTCCATGGTTTAATTTCCTGCCCCAGGTTCCCTGTGGAGCAGTCAGCTCAGCTGTCCTTGCACACCTTCTCCAAGCCTTACACATCATCACACTTGATAGGTGGTTTTTATACTTTTCACACACACACACACACACACACACACACACACACACACAAAAAAAAAAAAAAAAAAAGGAAGGGAGGAAGGAAGGAAAGAAGAAAAAAGGTGCAAAGGGATTAAGGTATGGGACACATTTCTCTGCAACTTGTCATTTCACAGAGCATGGCAAACCACTGTGGTCCAGCCAGGGCAGGAGCTTTGGCCTTACTCATCTCCATATAATCCCATAAAAGAGGTAGATTTCCTCAGTGTTTCAGCCTTTCAGTGCTGTGGGACCCTGACATGATTCAATTCTGCTGCTAGTTCCACAGGGCTGCCGGGAACATCTCCACTCTGTCCTAATAGACTCAGTCTGCTAGGCCTGCTATAACATAGGACCACAGATTGGGTAGAAGGTTTTCAATGCCTATTGGCTCAGTACCCAGCTTTGTTTTTGCAGAGCTCCAATGAGGATGTCGTCAAGGAGCTGGTTCATAGGCCCCACTACATCATCTGCAGGGTCAGGGTGCAGGTGCACCAGGTGGACAACACTGGCCAGTGCCAAGCTGATGTGAGAGCTGGCATAGGGGGGAACTTCACACCCAGGACCCCAAGATGACCAGGGAGGGGCAAGAACCCATATTCAAATCTGGGAACTTCTCTGCAGCTCTCCCAGGGTGTTCCCACTTAGAGTGTCCACAGTTCCATGCAAAAAAGAATAAGGACCTCACCTTCTCCCTCCAGCTACAGTCCTCACATATTTTAGGAATATTAGAGAATAAAATTATGTTGTTTCATTTCACAGTAGGCCATGAGCACATTTGCATTTTGTTCTTTTTGTTGTTTCAACTCCCTACCTCAAGTATCCTGTGGAACAGTCAGCTTGACTGTCCTTGCAGACCTTCACTGAGCCTTACGCATCATCACACTTGGTAGGGGTGTGTACAGAAAATGGGGAGGATATAAAATACAGGATACATATCTCTGAAACTTGTCATCTCACAGAGCATGACAAACCAGTGTAGGCTGGCCAGGGAAGGAGCTGTGGCTTACTCATATCCATATTATACCCATAAAGGAGGTAGTTTTCCTCAGTAATTCAGCCTTTCAGTGCTGTGGGACCTTGACATGATTCAATTCTGTTGCTAGTTCAGCAGGGCTGCCGGGAACATCCTTCTTGTGCCCTAACAGACTGTTTGAGTTGCCAGGGCTGCTGCAGATTGGGTGGAGAGTTCCTAATGCCTACTGGCCCCGGGCCGGCCTCTGTCTCTGTAGAGCTCCAATGAAGAAGTCATCGAAGAGTTGGTCGGTGGGTTCAACTCCTACACTTCCCTACACCAAGGGACGGTGTGCCAGGCCACAGACACCATCCAGTGGCAGACAGAGGTGAGAGCTGGCCAAGGAGGGTCTCTATACCCACAACCCCAAGATGATCTGGCAGTGCTCAGAACTCAGACTCAATTCCGGGACTCCCTGGGGGCCCTTCCAGGGATTACCCTAAAGTGTCCTACAGTCCCATGCCCAAAGGATTCTGGGCCTCCTCTTCTTCCTCCAGCTACACAAGAGGCTAGAAAGATACTTCTCACACATATATAGGAATATTAGAGATTAAAAAAATACATTCTTTCATTTCACAATATGCCACGAGCACATTTGTATTTCCCTGTTTATGTTGTCTGAACAAATTCCCCAGTATCCTGTGGAGCAGTCAGCTCAGCTGTCCTTGCAGACTTCCTCCAATAACAGAGGGGGCCTGCCACTGTGATGCAGCCTTTCCATACTATGGGGCATTGGCATAACTCCACTCATGTACCATGTCAGCAGTGCAGCTGGGAACACTTAAATGTGTCCAAATGGACTGTATGAGTTTCCTTGTGTTGCTATAACACTGAACCACACTGATTGGTGTAAACAGCAGACATTTATTTTCTCACAATTCCAGAGGCTACAAATTAGAGAGGAGGGTATCAGCAGGGCTGGTTCTTCCTGAGGGGTCTTTCCTCAGTGTGTAGATGGACGTCTTCTATCTCTGTGTCACATGGAGTCCTCGCTGTGATTCTGTGTATTCTCCCCTGTTTTTCAAAGGATACTGGTCATATTGGATTAAGACCTACACTACTGACTCCCCTTAACCTTAGTGACTTGCTTAAAGAATCCCACTCAGAGACAGGCACATTCTGAAGTTCCAGTGGTTTCAAAGTCATGGGATTTGGTTGAAACAATTTAGACAACAATGTACATACGATTCCCAGCAGGAGAGAGATGCCCACTGCTGGTGGCAGGACACTCACTTGTAAAATGATAACAGCTGCAGTCAGATTCCAAATCAAAAGGCTATAGCAGTGATGCTACCAACATCAGATTTGTGATGATGGCTGCTGCCTCGTGCCCCATCTGGCCCAGGGATCTCTCACTCATTTCAATTTTGACCAATTCAACACCAGGTTGTCCAAGGCAATCACAGTGTTTCTTGACTGGCAATTGCCTCATGGGTATTTTCACTCACGTGTCAGTTTTTCACCAGTCACATGGATTGGCTCCTTCTTGAGTCATCTGCTCAGACTCCTGCCTGGTGATTGGCTTCTCCTGTCTGGAGTCTCCAGGCACTTGCCCCTTTGCTTACTCTAGGATCCCCATCATGAAGGTCTCAAACTGCCCTTTAGTGTAATAGGAAGAAACATAAGTGTTTGTTGGAAGTCAATGGCTTTCATAGGCCGTGTCTATACTGTACACCTGGGGAGGGACAAGGTTCCCCACACCAAATCAGGAGCAGATGAGTGTCAGGCAGCTAAGAGGGGATGTCATGCAACCCTAGCTTTGGACAGTTGTTAGTTCTGACCTGCAGGACCTTGAGCAACCACCTGACATCCCTAAGCCTCTGTGTTCTCATCTCTATAAGGATGTTTATTCAGGACACCTGGGGACAATGCTCTTCATACAGACTACTAATATGGGGAGGTCTGTTGCTCCTCAACTGAAAAAACATGCCTAGAAGGTAACAAGTGTATAAATACCCTGCACCCACCTCCACTAAATGTAAGTGTACCTTTAAAACCTAGAACCTCGTTCAGGGTGGGCCCTCCTGTCCCTCCTCTTGCACACGTCCCCGAGGGGCTAGGAGTTCCTGGCTGAGCTCCAGACCTCAATCCTCCAGGTGATTCACGGGGATGCCACTGACAGGATCTCTCCTTGTCCCACCCAGTGTGCAGCTGAGTTAACACTTACCCTACATGAGGCCCGCAGGATGCGAGCCCTCCAGGGAGGCACTCTGAGAAAAGTGGCAGCATCAATGGTACCAGCTTTCCTGGGTGGTAACATCTCCCACATCACCACTTTAATGTCCATTCACCCGGCCTTCTCCAGAGCCCAACAGTTCCTGTACCAGCTGTTTACTAGGTGAGCGCGTGCCCCCTTCCTCTGCACAGGGGTGACTGCCCACTGCCAGCTGTGTGCCTTTCTCTCTGAGCCTGTTTGCCCCTCTGAAAAGTGGGGTGGTAGAGACTACTGTGGGGACAGGCCAGGGCAGGTGCTTACCACTACCTGGCTCTGCAGAAAGGGCTACTGGATGTGCTCTGGTTATTTATGGCAGTTATTTCTCTCTACCCCCAGGAAAACTCACCCATCAGCGGCCTGTGTCATTGGTGGGGTTTTATCTTACTTTCTTTTTTAGTTTTTATATTTTTCTTGGCCTGTGGCATTTCTGAGTTTGCAAAAGCACATGGAAAACAACCAGTCAATGAGTTTGGGAATCCACTTAGCTGATCCTGGTCCTTGTCCTTGGTGTTGGCAGATTAGGGATTTCTGGGGATAGGAGGGCCCCTAGGCCCACTCAGCTATCTGGGACAGTTTTGGTTGGAGTTCATTTATTCGACAATGTGCATTAAGCACCTACTACAAGTCTGCACTTTTGAAGACACTTAGCATAACTTGGCCAATGAAGCAAACACAATCCCTGGGCCTCAGTTCTACTCAGTGAGTCAGAGTCACACTGTCCATCATTCGCAGGCCCTGCCCCCCATCCATCAGATCTGATGCCATCAAGGTCTTTTCCACATCTGGAGGCATTCCTCTTTATAATGACCAGAGAGACACACCACAGGATCAAGTAAAAAAGTGAGTGGTCTTTGGGTCCATAAGGAGGGCCTCCTGTATCTACAGGATGGAGGCTGTGGGTGGGGAGAGCCTGGCAGAAGAACTGTGTCCTTACACATCTTCTGATTCCCAAAGGAGGCCTGAGCCCTGGTGGCTTCTATTCCGGGAGTAGAGGAGTCAGAGAGGACTGTGGATGGGGCCCCCAGCCTCATAGAACTGAAGCGGAGGGTGGGTTGAGTAGTCTCCCAGAGTCCCAAACCCACCCCAATCCCATCCCACTCTGCCTGCCCCTATTCACAGTCATCTCTCCTGACCAGTCACCAGGCTCAGCACAGGACATGTGGTGAGCAACCTGCTCCCAAATCTGTCTCAATCCTCAGTGCAGATGCCAGGTGCATGGAGGGCTGGGCTGGGCAGGGGACAGGACCTTCAGGACAAGTGTCAGTGGGAAGAAGAATCTCACACAGACTCTGTGTGAGCTGCTCAATCACCAGGCCTGCTACTCTCAAAACAGCCACACAAGGGTCAGGGATGGCATGAAGCTGCCCCTGGATGGTCAGGGGCAGGCAAAGAGGCCCAGTGCCAAACAAGGGTGCCATGGGAGGGCAGTGTGCAAGCAAAGTCCAGGACTCTGACTCCGGTGCCCACCTGCCTCTCCCCAGGGCCATTGCTTCTATAATGGGAACCTGGCCTGACCAGGTGCAGGGTTTTGGCCGGGCTCTCCACTTCCCCTGGTTTGAGCTGAAGCAGGCCTCAGTGAAGGTCCACTTCCCTACCTCACGTCACGTGGCCCGCGCCCACCTTGTTTGGATCAAGCTGGAGCATCTAGAGCCCACCAAGACCTCAGCAGAAGGTGAGGGGACTGCAGTCTGGGAAGATGATCAGGGGAGGGGAGGTTCTCAGGCTGGAGCTCCCTTAAAGGCAGTGGCATCTTTCCTGTCTTTGGAAAGGCCTGGGAAAGCAGGTGTGTGTGTGAATCTGTCTCTCCTGTTCCAGGTCCACCTCCAGGGCTCCAGAGCACCTCAGAGCTAGAGGAAGGGCCTGTGCAGGGGTGAGCATCTGGCCCAGCCAGAGGCCCCTTGATGGCCTGGCCTGGCATGAAGCAGTACCAGAAGCCATCATGGAGGCGTCTTTTTGAGACTTATTTCTTTCTGTCTTAAAAATTCTAAGCAATTATCCTAAACAAGTCCTATATAATAAAAGTCCAATATGCTAAGTGTCCAGTCAACTGGTCGGCCATTCAACCAGTCAAAGCATAATATGCTAATGATATGCTAAGGCCACTCAACCACTCGCTATGATGTGCACTGACCACCAGGGGGCAGATGCTCCAACCAGTAGGTTAGCTTGCTGCTGGGGTCCAGAGATCAGAACTGAGCGAGATGGGCCAGACATGCCCTGGAGCCCTCCCACAGTCCCTCCCCGGCTGGCCAACCTCCCTCGTCTCTCCCCAGTGTTGATCATGCACTGGTGCGGTCCCTTGGCCTGGCCTGCACCCTCTTTCAATCAGGAATTTTTGGAGGATGTCGGAGAGCCAGTTTTGGCCTGATCCTGTAGGCCAGGCTGAGGGACCCCACTGGTGCATGAATTTGTGCACCAGGCCCTAGTAGATAAATAAGAGGAATAAACCCCAATAATATGGTAGTTAAAAACAATAATTTCCATTAAATGAACTATATGCCATTAAATTAAATATCCTGGAACAAATAGAAATAAAGTTGTTGATTAAAAATTTGTATAGACAATACCTGCTCATATACATGTACATTTAATCTAATAAAAGAGAAACATGCAAATTGACTGCACCCCCACTACTCCTAAGCCATGCCCACCAGCCAATCAGAGCAACTATATGCAAATTAACCTAACCAAGATGGCGGCCAGCAACCATGGAGCTGGAGCAAGCAGGAGGCTTGGTTTCCCCGGTGATGGAGGAAGCCAAGCTTCCCGCCTACCCTGGCCGGCTGTGGCCTCTGCTCAAGGCAATAAAGTTTCAATTATAGAAGATAAATAAATCCCAGAAACCTGCTTCCAGCAAGCCTCCACTGGGAGCTTGGGTGGCTGGGGGCTGTGGTCAGCCTGCAAACAGCCATCAGCCCCTCACCCAGGCTGGCCAGGCACCCCAGTGGAAACCCCCACCCTGAAGGGGCTGTGGCAAGCCTGCAAACAGCCATCAACCCCTCACCCAGGCTGGCCAGGCACCCCAGTGGGGACCCCCAGCCTGAAGGAGCTGTGGCCAGCCTGAGAACGGCCCTCAGCCCCTCACCCAGGCTGGCCAGGCACCCCAGCGGGACCCCCACCCTGATCCGGGACACTCTTCTGGGTAATCCAGCTGGCCCCCACCCGTGCACCAGGCCTCTATCCTATATAATAAAAGCAAATATGCAAATTGACCCCAACAGCAGAACGACTGGGAATGACTGGTCACTATGACACACACTGACCACCAGGAGGCAGACACTCAATGCAGGAGCTGCCCCCTGGTGGTCAGTGCGCTCCCACAGGGGGAGCTCTGCTCAGCCACAAGCCAGGCTGATGTCTGCCAGTACAGTGGTGGTGGCGGGAGCCTCTCCTGCCTCCTCAGCAGCGCTAAGGATGTCTGACTGCAGCTTAGGCCTGCTCCCCACTGGCAAGTGGACATCCCCCAAGGGTTCCCGGGCTGCCAGAGGGATGTCTGACTGCCAGCTTAGGCCCAATCCCCCGAGGAGCAGGCCTAAGCCAGCAGGTGGTCATCCCCCGAGGAGTCGCAGACTGTGAGCGGGCACAGGCAGGGCTGAGGGATCCCCCGAGTGCACAAATTTTTGTGCACTGGGCCTCTAGTCATAAAATAATTATCTATATATTATGTGTATCCATTATAAATATAGAAAGAGGCTTCATATACATTTTAAAAATCACTTCTAAAACAGATTTATTTTTTCTGATAATTAAACAAATATAAACTGAGAAAATGGAGACATAAAATTTGGTAATGTATACAGCAAAATATTAACACTTGTGAATTCTACTAAGTGGGACTTAATAGAAGTGATTTCTCTTCTCCTTTTGCTCAGTCTATTTTCTATTATTTTGTACAAGGGTCATATCTTCATCATAAGATATTTTAAGACCATATATATACATATATACGTATATATATATATATATATATATATATATATGTATATATACACATATTATATTTTAACAGTCTTTACATTTCAATAGTTTCACCATTATCAATTGTATCTTTCCCAAGTGCTGTCTTACATCTTGAAATGGTCTCATTAAAAGCAAAAATAACTTAATGGGCTACATTCTAGTTCCCTCAGTGTTTAGTTTGACTTTCTATTAGAGCAGTGATAACCACTAGAGTAGCTAATAATATTTAAACCACTAGGGTTAGAAAGAGCATTTTTTCTGTTGCAACAAAAATAATTCAAAAGAACTCCCTGCATGCCTGACTGGTGTGGCCCAGTGGGTGAGTGTTGACCTATGAACCAGGAAATCACAATTCAATTGGATACTAAACTGCCCATGTCCCCTGCAGTTGGGACAGTTCTCACCAAGGGCACATGATTGAATGTCTCATGGAAGATTTCCTAGACAATACTTTCCTCCCTGAGAAATAGAACGATAATGAAGAGAAGACTTTTTCCTTTCTTTGATGCTGGGAGCTGTTGCTGCCACCTTGTGACCATGAGGAAACAGTGAAGAGAAAAGGCAGCTGAATTCAATCCTGGATCCACCTACCTGTGAGAAAATCAAATCCTTATTGTTTAAGCCATGTTTCATCAGAATTCTGTTGCTTACATTCCTCAGCTTCCACACTGAATGAAATCCTTGCAACTCCTGATGGTGGGGGGCAAGGCTGAATTACTTCTTGGTATTGCAAGAAATGGGTAAGTGTGGGAGCGGAGAGGAGGACAGAGGAAAGAAGGGAAATGCCTGAAAGAAGCATCATCAGTCTTCCAACTATTTCAGAGGACAACTCTGGGACACAAGGCATGACACAGCTCTAAGCTGGGGTGGGAAGATCTCAAAGTGTGACCAGAGGAAAGGGGAGAAAGAAGGACAAGACTGGACAAATAAGCAAAGGTCAGATCATGGAGGACTTTTTTTCTGAAAGCCATAGGAAACCATCGTCAGTTTTAAATAAAAGACATGATCATTATCCAAAAGATAAGTTGGGCTGCAGGTAGGTAGAGAATGGCTTGGAATGGGGCAATAGTAGAGGTTGATAGACCAGAGAGAGCACAAACCATCAAGAGGCCATGATGTCATATGGCTTAGGACTCTCAATGCCAACTTTAATCACTTCAATTTCGAATCATTTTGTCAAGCATGTTAATGTTGAAATATAAGACATACCAGGTTCTTTGTGGAAATTGCCAGGTTCATTGGAGCAGTGATAAGAAAGTGGCAATACATGCCCCACCTATTCTCAGAACAAGAAACTCTAGCGAATAAAGTGAGAGAATGTGCCAAATATCAAGATTTACTAAAGTTATAAGGAAAAGAATGTGGAGTCAGCTTAGAGAGAGAAAAATGGATCAGTGGCACATAACAGACACCAGAAACAAGCCCACTAGTATGGAGAAACTGCATCAGTAATGTGTGGCATTGCAGACTACTGGAGAAGAAAAGTATGAATCAATAAGGAGTGTGGGTGCAATTGGTAAGACATGGGGAAAGGGTGAAGTGGGATTCGAATCTGAGAGCAATTCCTGTGCCCTTCCTAAGCAGAGACACCCTAATTAGAATAAAGTCAGCACCTGCAGGAACCAGCCATGAACTGTAGCCACTTCCCATTCACTCCAGGGACAAGCCTGCACCGACCTTGGCTTGTTTGCCTGAGAAACCCACCGGCTTCAGAGAGCTTGTCTCAGGCTACCTGCCACAGAACACACACACACACACACACACACACACACACACACACACACACACACACACACACGAGGATTAAAATTTTGTTGAGACCTCACTCTAAGTTGGCTCCTCCCTCCCAGCTGAGCAGAGTAAACAAAGATAGGGTAACCCCCAAAGGTGGATGGATAGAAGGATCTTTTTCTAAGGGAAGAACAGAAACACTCAGATGACCTCAGGCAAGCAGCCCCTCTTCCCAGCTCCTTGTGGCTGAAGACCAACCGGCACATGCAAAACTTCTGCCCCACCACCTTTTTACCCGTCCCCCTACCCACCGCACCACACGAAACATCTCAGAGACAGCTCAAGAACATGCCTATTCACTGCACATATGGACAATTGTAGAACTATTTCAAATTCCCAACACTAGGCCATTATGTCTGAAATGGGGAAGAGAAATAGCCAAACCTTATTAATACCATCTTTTAGTCCCTCTTCAGCCGCCTCCTAGAGCTACAAGACTGTTATGAACAGTTCACCAACCAGGGTGCAAGGCAAGCACTGCGCCCATTTTACAGGAACAAACCGCCCCTCCGAACCTCAAAGCGGGTCTTTATTACAGTGCCCAGGGGCAGTTTATCAGCACAGCCCTCCTCCTTCCATCTGACCCTGAGGTCACCATCTCCTCCTGATGAGATACACTGGGCAAGTTTACAAATGTCAAGAGTTGATTTGAGCAAAAACTGATTCGAATTGCATCCAATCTAGCAGAGAGGAACTCCACAGAACTGTACAAAATGAAAGACTTTCACAGACTTCCCTCTAAGGGATGGAAGTGTCTATTGGCTGATTGACTGGATTAAGATTCCATTTCTGGGAGAGCCAAACTGTCATTAAGTCTTGGTTTGGTGACTTGGGGCTTAGCATATGTGACTCCATTCTGGGCCCGTTGTCTAATAGTTAACCCTCCCTACATCCTGTCAGACAAAAGGCTTGGCTGCTTAGAACGTACAGCAACATAAGTTGTCCTCCCAATAGTGGCCAGCAGATGAGCACTGAAAGATCCCTGACCTGCCCCTCAGAAGGGCAATCAGAAAGGAAAAGCTCTATGAAAAAACAGCAGAGCTTAGGTGCACCCATAGAGCAGAAAGCAGGGGTTTCTGGCTTCAGTGCCTTTTAATAAAAGCTTAACATCTAGAAGGCAGGG